TAAAATACTCTGAGGGTTTAAAATATAAGTGGTTGCCACCTTGAAGGTTTTGTATGCGATTTTCCCTTATTTGTTTTGGTTTGGTTCGGTTTTTTGTTCATCTCTACTTTTTAGTAGAAATACAAAACTCATAACGTTATAATAACGAGGAACCATGTGACTAAACATTGATTGATTGTCAAGTTTCGTAAGATCTTATTAACCTTAGCCAATACCAATGATCTGTGTTTGCGTATACCATCAAGGCGACAGCTAGAGGTGATTAAACTGATCATGTGCGTCTTTGAACACTCAGGTCTTTATATAGACGAATGCTTCTCAGTTATAACAAAATATTGATGCATGAATAACAAAATATCAAATTAAGTAAAGTGAAAAAAAAAGATAAAGAGGGTAAGACAATGGTGTCTCTACCATCTATTGTTTTCATTTTTCTTGTTCTTGTTGTTATCCCTTTGCGCCTCTTCATATCCAGTCCTCTAAGAAGTCGCTTCTGCTCATCAAATTTGGTTTCTTTCATGTACGATGATAAGAAGAATGATGCGGAGAAGAGTGTGAAACGGTAGTTTGCTTTTGTTTATCATAATATTCAGTACTGCTAGATTATTGCGGCATTCTTAGTCAAATCCAAACTAACTAATTATCATCCTATTTGCAACTATTTTGTGAATTTCAGAACAGCAAAGTTTGTCTGCCATCAACAAAAACTAATCACGTTCATTTTCAGAACTTTTCAATCCACTTATATATTTTCCTTCTATAACAGAAGAACTTTATTATAAAAGTCGATTTTACTCTAATGTATGTTTATATATTAAGTCATTTATTTTTTAGGGAAAATATTTATTCGTCTATATTTCTTTAGTAAAGCTCTACATTTTAATGAAATTTTGTTTATTTTAAAGTAAATATTAGCCGATTAATGTTTTTAAGGAAAGCTTTACACTTTTAATGCAAATTTGTTTTGATGATACGTTTACGCAAATTGTTTATGATTGGTTGAACTAGTTTTAGACGAAACTATTTTAAGTGCATGACTTTTATGTGACTACCACTTAGTTTATTCAATGGCCTTTGTCCATTTTCTTACAAGTTTCATTGTAAACTTGAAACGGCACTAGAATGAACTAGTTTTAATGAGACAAAACTATTTTTAATTGCATGCCTTTATGTGACTACCACTTGGCATATTCAATGGCCTTTGTCCATTTTCTTCTAAGTTTCATTGTAAACTTGAACGGGACTAGAATTAATTAGTGGTTGCTTCACTGAGAGATTCATATGACGCATTGTTGAGGATCATTATCCTTCTGCTTATCAAAATTAAAAATCGAGTTTTGGAACATTACAAAGCTACACTTTGTCGTGTCAACTGTACGACAGACAATATAGGCCCGATTGTTTCCATAGTTTTTAGATTTTAGTTTTTGATTTTGTAATGGAAATGGATTTTAGTTTTACGGAAAACACGAATTTAAATTTTTTTTTTTGTTTTTGTTTTTTAATCCTAAAGTTTGCTTTTTATTTATATTTTAATTTTTTGTAAAATTTAATTACTGATTTATTTTATTTTTGTCTGTTGTTTTTAAATTTTAACTTAGAAGTTGATTTTGGACAAATTTAAAATTTAAAACAAAGTATATCACAGAGTTTTAATAAATAATACCAATATATTATTGACGAAAGATGTAAAATTTACTAAAAGTAAATTTAAATAATTAATTTTATTTTATTCAAAATTTTTAAAATGTTCTTATTAGAATTTAATTATGTATTATATATGATAATATATAGAGCCAAAGCTGCGACAAAGAAGAATAACTTTAGAGACTCCAGCGATTATCTAGTAGCGGGGCTGAGGAGAGAGCTGGCGCCAAGGCACGACCTGGTGAAACTGAACCTAAACAGGAGATGGGCAGAGATCGAAACAAGGATTGCAGACGTTCAAAGGACGTGCAGCCAGAGCTAAAAGGCTTGTCAGGTTTGCAAAGAACTGCTCAAATTTGTGAATTGATTCTGCTTCAGATTTTGCTTTCTCCACAAAGAGTTGAGGTCAAAGTAAGTGCTAATATCATTTTACCAGAGGGACTGGAACCAGGGACTGCAAGTATAGTTATTAATAATACCACTAGCTATGAATGTTTTGTTTTTCAGTTCAATGGATGTTAACTGATTTAATGAATGTACATTTTAATGCAACTATTCAATCAAAACTTTAGAAGATAAATACAATAAACCTTTGTTTTCAAGATGGAGTAGGTAATGATGTTAATATTGCTAGAGCTTTCTTTATGGGGTCTATTTCTTTCACACCGAATGTAGTACCCCGTTATCTGAAAAGTGTACCCGGAGGAACTGGTCAATGTGATCAAAGTACGAGTAGGAGAGAAGCTGGATGTGATGTTTGAGGTTTGACTTATTACTAAACACCGACCTTTCCTTGATTGGTCTTGCAGTTTCATTCTTTCATTACTAAACTCCAATTAGTTTACCGCACTCAGCCCGAGTCAAGATCATTTCAAGGGCTCATGGAACATCTGACAATTAGTCAAAAATCTAGACACGTCCAGACGATATAACATTACCTTAATACATACATGGACCTTCTATTGTTCAATGTACCTTGATTATATCTGGGTGTTATTTTTGCAGCGATATTCATAACCTTGAACATTATTTTCTTCCCTAAGTCTTGGAATTTTAACTCTTTCCCCTTCTATTTGCATATCTTTTTGTCGACCTTGTGTTTCCCTATCCCAATTGCTTTCAGCATGAGATTTGTTTTAGCTTCCACTTTAGTCCAACATAGTCATGGGAATTTTACCTGACCTGAAAATCCAAATCGAACCAACACGAAAACACCCGACCCCAAACTGAATCGAACATTTCCAGATACATAGTTGAGTCCAAAATTCTTCTGACCTAAGGAATCTGAATCGGAAAGAACTGATCCGAATAGATCTGGACCTGAAAATAGTCGACTTGAATAGACCCGACCTTATAAAATCGATTTATACCAAAACTAAAAACATAATCCAAAACTAGGATCTTTTTGTGTTTATATTTTTGTATTTTAGTTTATGATTTAGTTGATTTTTTTTTGTTAGCAATCATTATTATTATACAGTAGAATCTCTATAAATTAATACTCGATAAATTAATATACACTAAATATCTCTATGAATTAATATAATTTTATAGTCCCAAATTAAGTTTTTGGTTCAATTAATATATCTATAAATTAATATCTCTTTAAATTAATAAAAAATTAAAATTTTGGTGTAGTCCCAAAATTATTAATTTATAGAGGTTTCACTGTATTTGTAACATTTTTCAAGTAATACAAAGCTTTAAAGGTAAATTTAGCGTTTAAAATATTTTATTTTATTTCAATAAATTCCGACGACCCCTTTAATATCCGTCGGAATTTCCTTGGAATGATTATCTATTATATTAAAATAGAAGTTACAACCTCATTTCATGTGTGATTTTTAAGTTGGACCACTCTTATTTTTTTTTATATTAAATGTATTTTAAGAAGACTTATAATATATAGAATCTTTGAAATACTTTAATCACAATATCTTTTGATATCTTTTCATTTACAATATAATATTATATATATTAAATTTTTTGAAAAAGCTGTTTAAGAAGATTTCAACAAGATCTTAATTTTCGAAATTTTATATAAATATTTGCAATACTTTCGTGATTAGTTTTGAAATATTATTATATATTAATATATTTAGTTATCATTTTTAAAACGAAAATAAATATTCTATCGCTTTTTATCTATTATATAATCATATTAAAAGAAAATTATTATCTTAATCTAAATGTTTTAACAATATCTTAATTTTCAAAAAGTGTATGTAAAAATTTTCACTAATTTTGTAGTTAGAAATGGACTATTATTATGCATTAATATATATACAATTTTTGTTTATAAATTAAAAATGAAATTTATCCTAATTCTATCTATTTTATAATCATAATATTCAACCATGTAAAATAATTTTTTTATTGAAATACATATTATAAAATTATATTAATTTAATAGAGTTATAAAGTTTATTTTCATAAATATCAAATATTTATATTAAATATATAATATGCTAATAGACTACAATACATATATAAACATTAAAATATTTTAGACTTTTGTATATACAATAATATATTATGTAAAATGAATAAACATAAAATATTATTAAAAGGAAATCGAGTTTTGAAGACGGGTCCAAATTTAACATATATTAAACACAAAATACTTTTCAAATATGTTTTTCATGCACATATTAATTTGTTTGATAACCAAATACAAATACAATAAAATAAATATTTAAGAAGAAGTAGCAAATACATGTAATTATTTTGAGAAATTGATTATTTACAACATATAAACTATATATTATTTTATTTGAAATAGTTATATAAATATTTAAATATATAATTAAAATTAGAAATGATATAAAATAAATATATATGCATATAAAATGGTAAAGAAGATGAAACAAATAAATGGGTCCTATTGGTGGTTTTGAAAATCGAATCCACTAACTAAATTAACAAGAGACAATTTTTTTACTAGAATGCCCATATGTAGTTTAGTTTTTAAGAAGATAAAAACGTCTTCAACCAATAAAAATTTCTCATTAGCGCAATCTACTTTTTTATGTAATAAAAACACATAAACTGTATTTCAGTGTAAAAAACTCATCAAACTGCCACTACTTTTTAATTTCAATAATAGCCCATTACTTTTGATGTTTTTTTTGTTATCAAATATGAACTTAACATATTACTTTGATGTTTTTTTGTTATCAAATATGAACTTAACATATCAAATTCATTGGAAAACTAAAAAGATTATTATCATTATACTCATGAAATTACCTTACACAATTTGACTATATTAAGAGCATTATGATCAGTCGTCACGGACTCATTATCATCCACACACAATGAACTGCATTTACTCAAATGGAATATTCAACGGAAAAAGCCCATAAAATATTTCCTGGTTGATTTTCCTCGAATGAAACAGATAATAGTGTTATATGAACCCTTTGACGGGTTAGACCATCATTATCAAGGAGACGACCCCAAGTCAATCACATGGTGAAATTAACGATCATAAAAGAGCCCGGACTGGTATTACTTTATCTCGCATCAACAAAGATCAAAGAAAGAGTGTGTGAGAATGGGTTTTGTAGAGAAGAATGCTTACGCTCTTCATTTTATTTTCATCATAACCATAATTTTGGGAAGTTCTATTGCAGTCTCTGCAACTATCTCAGAAGCAAACGCTCTTCTCAAATGGAAATCCACTTTCACGAACCAGACAAGCTCCTCAAAGCTGTCTTCGTGGCCCAACAACACAAACATCAATAAAAGCTTCTGCACCAGATGGCATGGCGTCTCCTGCGACCAACAAGGGAGTATCATTAGGTTAAACCTGTCTGACACTTCCATTGAAGGTACATTCCAAGATTTCCCCTTTTCTTCTCTCCCAAACCTTGCTTACGTTGATCTTAGTATGAACCGTTTCTCTGGAACCATCCCTCCCCAATTCGGAAACCTCACTAAACTCATATACTTTGATCTATCCTTAAACCAGTTAACTGGAGAAATCCCACCTGAGCTTGGCAAATTACGAAACCTCGAAACGCTCCATCTTGTCACAAACCAGTTGACAGGGTCGATTCCATCTGAGATCGGTCTGTTAACTTCGGTTCGAGAAATTTCCTTGTTTGAAAATATCTTGTCTGGACCAATACCCTCTTCCATTGGAAACCTATCAAACTTGGTTAACCTGTATCTTTATACCAACTCACTCTCTGGTCCACTTCCTTCCGAGATTGGGAACTTAGCCAATCTTGTTGAGCTGTGCCTTGATAGAAACAGCATGACCGGTCACATTCCTACCAGTTTTAGAAAGTTGAAGAAGTTAACTCTTCTAAACTTGTTTGAAAACAAACTTTCGGGTGAAATACCCCCAGAGATCGGTGACATGACCAGTCTAGATACCCTTGCCCTTCATACAAACAATCTTACCGGTTCAATTCCTCCTTCCCTAGGAAATCTCAAGAACTTAACTATACTTCACCTTTACTTGAATAATCTAACTGGTCCCATCCCCCCCGAACTAGGAAACATTGAATCCATGGAAGATTTAGAGTTAAGCCAGAACAAACTTACAGGTTCTGTTCCTGATTCCTTCGGAAACTTTACCAAGCTTCAGTCTTTGTTCCTCCGAGAGAATATGCTCTCTGGTTCCATCCCTTCAGGGGTTGCAAACTCTTCAGAACTAATGGTCTTGCAACTCGACACAAACAAGTTCACCGGATTCTTGCCTGAAACCATTTGCAAAGGTGGCAAGCTTCAGAACCTGACGTTAGATGATAACCACCTCGAAGGTCCTATCCCGAAAAGCGTGAGAGACTGCAAAAGCTTGATGAGAGCACGATTCACAGGGAACGGATTCACCGGAGATATATCTGAGGCGTTCGGGGTTTACCCGCATCTTGATTTCATTGATCTCAGCCACAACAAATTCCACGGCCAGATCTCAGGCAACTGGGAGAGGAGTCCAAAGCTACTCTACTTGATCATGTCAAATAACAACATAACGGGTCCCATCCCACCCCAGATTTGGAGGATGACACAACTTGGTGAGCTGGACCTATCTACCAACAAACTCACCGGTGAACTTCCAGAAGCAATTGGGAATCTCACGGCTCTGACAAGGCTTAAACTGAATGGGAATCAGTTATCCGGAAGAATCCCAGAAAGAATAAGATTGTTAACCAAGCTTGAGTATTTTGACTTGTCCTCAAACAGATTCAGCTCCAACATCCCACAAACCTTGAACTCCTTACCGAATCTTCACTACATGAACCTGAGCAGAAACAAGTTGGAGGAACTCATTCCCATGGGACTCACAAAGCTGATTCAGTTATCTAATCTTGATCTCAGCCACAACCATCTCACCGGAGAAATCCCACCACTCAGCTCCCTGGAAAGCCTTGAGATGCTCGACCTCTCACACAACAATCTCTCTGGTCAAATCCTACCGAGTTTCACGGACATGAAAGCCCTGAGATACATTGATATATCGTACAATAACCTCGAGGGCCCACTTCCTCACATCCCTGCGTTTGGAAACGCAACCGCGGACGAACTGAAAGGAAACAGAGGGTTATGCAGTGATAATGCAACTAAACAAAGGTTGAAACCATGCCCAATCACTTCAGCTGCAATCAAGAAACCGAAAAAGAAGCTTGTTGTGTGGATATTCGTAGTAGTACCGATCGTAGGAGCACTCGTGATTCTCAGTGTATGCGCAGGGGCGTTTACTTACTACTACCACCTCAAGAAACGAAAACCAAGAACTGAAGACAAGTCAGATTCTGAAAATGGAGAGAGTTTGTCAATAATCTTTGGAAAAGTCAAATACCAAGAGATCATCAAATCAACCAGAGATTTCGATCCAAGATACCTAATTGGAACCGGTGGGTACGGAAAAGTCTACAAAGCGAAGCTCTCACTAGGCACAACCGTAGCCGTGAAAAAACTACACGAAACGGTGAAGCATCAAGAGTTGTTAAACGAGGTGAGAGCATTAACGGAGATCCGTCACAGGAACGTAGTGAAGCTACTCGGCTTCTGCTCCATCCGCCGCCACACGTTCCTGATCTACGAGTACATGGAAAAGGGGAGCTTAAGGAAAGCGTTGTCCAACGACGACCAAGCTCAACGGCTCGACTGGGTTAAGAGAATCAAGATCGTGAAAGGCGTGGCGTACGCGTTGTCTTACATGCATCACGACCGGCCAACACCGATCGTGCACCGTGATATCAACACAGGGAACATCCTTCTCGGTGACGATTACGAGGCTAAGATCTCCGATTTCGGTACAGCCAAGCTTCTCAAGAAAGACTCATCTAATTGGTCTGCCGTTGCTGGCACCTACGGCTACATCGCTCCGGGTAAATCAAATCAAATATTCTAGACCCTAAATTCGAAATTGAGTTTTTTGAATTTTTTGATTTTATTTTTAATCTATGCAGAATTGGCCTACGCGATGAGAGTGACGGAGAAGTGTGATGTGTATAGCTTTGGAGTTCTGATGCTCGAAGTGATAAAGGGGAAGCATCCGGGAGATTTGGTTTCGACTTTGGCTTCTTCTCCGGGGACAACTCTGTCACTGAGAAGCATTTCGGATGAACGTCTGTGTATGCCAGAGGCGGAGATCAGAGATGAGCTCTTCAAGATGGTGAAAGTGGCGGTGCTGTGTTTGCAAGCCAATCCGCAGCTCAGGCCAACGATGATGACAATCGCCGCTCAATTCTACTAACTCTTTCATCACTCTTTAGTATTTACACTAGGGAGGATGTGTCAAGCCATCCATGGACATAGTAATGTCTAATACTTTTTCTTATTTTTTTTTTGTCATCAGTAATGTTTAATATTATTCCATTCTAAACTCGTAAACACTATGGCTATGATGAAATGCAAATTATTTAAATGCAGATGAGACTGTCTTTTTTTTTTGTCCATTCATATTTTTAGTTCCAGAAGCAAAAAAAAAATAACAAAACTTAGGGGGTGTTATTCAATTAGTGATTTAAATCAATTTTAAATAGTTTACAATCTATCAGATTTTTAAATTTTAAGATTGTTAAAGTTGATGGATTCTAAAATATCTGGATACCTCCTTGGATTTTGAGTTTAATCATTTATTCATTATAATCCATCACTGATGATTTGAAATCCATTTATACTAGTGATTTTCCTGTGCTCATGCACAGGCATAAATATTTATAAAATAAATATATTATAATGTTTATTGATATTTACTTTAACTTTTATATTAATTCATAGCTTTTATGTATAATTTATATTAATAATATTATATCATTTTAGTAATATATATTATTATATATATTATATTTACTTATTTTTATCATTTGGATATATATATATATATATTGGATTATATCTATTTCTCTGAATTCAATTATAATTTTTTTATTCTAAATATTTTAAATTTTTGATTAATTGTTTTATTTACATTTATGTTGGTTATTATCTTAGAAATATAAATATATCTTAGTAAAATTATGTATTTTAAGATTTTTTGTGCTTAGAACGAAAAAATAAAAACTAAAGTGTCTGTTTTTAAACCCATTACGCCTCGATTCTAAGATATAAATTTTTTGAGCTTCTTCTTTGGTCCTTCGAGGTCATCAATCTTTCTCTCAGAGAAAGGTGACTGCACCCACTGTGATGGTTTACTTTTTCCTCCTTTTCCTCTATATATTGTTCCACATCTGCTTCAACTGACTTCTTAGCTTGTTCAGCCTCTTTTTCAGTCTCAAAAGCTTCTTGCTCAGTTACCATAGCTTTTTGCTCACTGGTTTTTTCCTCTGTGACCACAGTTTTCTCTGCTTCCATAACTCATGTCCTTATCCAGATATGTGATGGTGTAAGTACTAGTTTCCTCGCAAGCACACGTGGAGTTCTAGGAGTTTCCTCAGATTTTTTCTCAGCCTCTTTCTTCTTCTCCACATCTTCATCAGATTAGGAAGAATTCTCCTCCATGCTTCATCCACCTCTATTCTCCTACTCTCAGCCTCTTGCTTTTAGTCTTGTCCTTCCTTTTACCCTTCTTCGTTACCATCCTCTACGAACATATTCAAAAGCAACATCTTAACCATTATCCAACTTAATTACTAAAAAAAAAATCACAAAATCGTAACCCATTACGCCCCGATTCTCATTCTAATATGATAGCTTCCTATCTAAGATTTCACCAACACTTTCCTTAATTTATCATCCCTAATACTTTTTTCCGAGACCTTACTCAAGATTCATCTACAATCTACAATTTCCCCCAAATTTTGTTTGACCTAATTTCTTTATAAAACATTAACGACCCACAAAATCAAGAGGAACCACTTACTGAGATATAAGAAAGTTAGGAGAAAGATGAAGAATGTCGATTGAGATTTGATTGAAGTTTGATTTTGAAGAAACCAGATGAAAAAAACGATGAGAAGACGTCGCTGATATCTGTTGTTGCAAGAGAGAGAGCGGCAACTTGAGTTAGAGAAATAAATGAGAGTTAGTATAAAACGGCGTCGATTAGGTATTATGTAAAATTGTTGGGTTTGACCCAGTTAGGTTTGGATCGGGTTAGATACTTAGGTTGGGTGCCGTAATAATTCTGTTTTCTATGGGTAGATAGGTATTTAACTCAATTTTATATTTAAAATAATTAAATAGTTATTATTATTTTAATAAGAGGAGAATTAAGAATTTTTGAAGAGTGACAGGGGCGTCTGAGAATAAACTCTCAAACGGTGGAATTTCTAACCAATAAAGCAATTAAGAAAAATAAAAAAAAGGAAAGAAATACTCCCTCCGTTTCTTTTTGTAAGTAGTTCTAGCAAAAAAACTTTGTTTCATAATGTAAGCTCTTTACAAGATCCAAAGCAATAAATTAATTAATAAGTAATATTTCACCAAATCTTTAAAAGCCTTGTCGGTAGTCTTTTATGTGTTGAACACAACTTACAATGACAATCAACTACTAACATTTATTAATTTCCAAAAACATTTATTCCTAAATTCACTATAAATACAGTATAAGGTAACATAAGTGTTGTCTTACCCCATTATTTTTTTCATTTTGATCTTCTTTCTGGTTTCATTCTTTTCTTCATAAGACTATGGGAAAAATGAAGAAAAAAATATTAAAAAACACAAAACAGAAAATGTTCAAAATATCAACAAAACACAATCAAACTTGCAGATGTTCACTCGATCATTTGACTTGAACAAGATGCATTATGATATTGGAGAGCTTCATCCCGACAAAGAAATTGAAGACACTATCTTAACTATATTGAAGATTGATTGTCCTGAGTTTTTTTTTTAGCTTGTATTTTATTTTTATTATATGTGTGTTCTAAATAGTTTTCTTTATTTTGTTCTTTTATGGTAATTGATGCTCTGAAATAATGAACTTATTTTGTTTTTTCTTATGGTAATTGATGCTCTATAATAATGAAAGTACGTTTTATGATAAGAAGATAGTAGAAAAAACAATCATAACTAGAAATTAAACCCCATTAAAGTAGAAAAAGGAGAAAAAAATCATCACAACAAAATAACTTAAATCCACTATTCTAACAAACCAAGTGTGTTCATCACATTTTGAACAAACATAGCATCACAACTGATTCTCGTAGGAAAAAGACCATTTTTTTCCACGCATATTTCTTCATATGGGGGATTTTGTACTTGTTTAATCCTCCTATTTTCATGATCTCATACATGCATGATTGAAGAGTCAAAAAAATATGGTTTACCTTCTCTGTCGAGTATTGCTTGAAAGATTCTTCGACTGAACCAACAAGATCTTTTATGTTTTTCGAGCATTCCTTATATTGTATGGATTGAATGGCACGAAAAAATCCGAGATCTAAAATATTTAGATCCGGTGAATTTGACGGTTGACACATCAAATGAATATCAAAACCAGTTTTTGAGGCACCTTCTTGGAAATCTATATCTCCACACTCGACATGTGTTCTTGCGTTATCTTGTTGAATAAAGATAGTCTTTCCTTTATCTTCCTCTTGCCACTTTTCTTGAATATTCAGAAGAACCTTTTCAATCAAGAATGCTTTTATATCCTCTCTTTTGACTGACATTAACGCTTTTAATTCTAACGTCCCAGCATCTCGGTTCTTACTATTTCTCTTAGCTGGTTCCATAGTAACAAATGGAAATATTCCAATTTTCCCATCAAAGACCTCGTTTCCTTCTTCGTCAAATCTTGGACGAGCCATTGCCGCTAGAAACATCACCTTAGTAATGTATCGATTTGTTACTATATGAAGCAAATCAATACATTTCTAGAAAATCTATCGATTTTGTTATGGGTGAATTAGCTAAATAGCAACAAATACTGAGATACCATAAAAGAGAAATAAAAAAATGATAAGTGGAGGAGAAGAGAGATAGAGGAAAATAGGGTATATACCTAATTTGGTGGTTTTGTGTGTATATAGAGTGCAAATAGTCTTTTGTTATTTACTTTACATGGCTGATTTATTATTTTGTGGGAAAAAAGAATGTGGCTCATAATCGAGCTAAAAAGGCAAGTAAAAAGAGCTCCCGTACGTGGTGGACACAAGACTATCCCTAATTCACGGCCAAGAAAAATTAATCATATTTTCCCATATTAAAAAATAAAAACAAACCCAATAAATATCAACACTCTAAACTTTTTTTTTCCTATCCTAATTTTCCAACACACAACTCACAAAAAGAAAAAAACAATCTTCTCCTCATCAAACAATGGCTTCTCTTCTCGCGAACGGCATCTCCAGCTTCTCCCCACAACCCACACCCGATTCCTCCAAATCCCCAAAATCCTTCCACCCAAAACCCGATTCCTTCAAATTCCCCTCCTCCTCAAAAACCCTAATCCCATCTCCACGCCTCCTCAAAATCAGAGCCGACGTCGGCACAATCGAATCCAATCCAGGTAACTCCTCAACAACCTCATCAACCGATAAACTCCAACAATACTTCCAAAACCTAGACTACGACAAAAAATACGGTTTCGTCGAAGACATCGACTCCTTCACAATCCCCAAAGGCTTATCCGAAGAAACAATCAAATCAATCTCATCCCTCAAGGAAGAGCCAGCCTGGATGCTCGACTTCAGATTCAAAGCCTACGCCAAGTTCCTCACCTTAAATGAGCCTCAATGGTCAGACAACCGTTACCCTCCAATCAACTTCAACAACATGTGTTACTACTCCGCCCCCAAAAAGAAACCCACTCTCAACTCCTTAGACGAAGCCGACCCTCAGCTCCTAGAATATTTCGATAAGCTCGGCGTCCCCTTGACGGAACAGAAACGGTTAGCTAACGTCGCCGTTGACGCCGTTCTCGACAGCGTCTCCATCGCCACTACACATAGAAAGACGCTTGAGAAGTCTGGCGTGATCTTCTGCTCCATCTCCGAAGCGATTCGGGAGTATCCTGATCTGATCAAGAAGTACTTAGGCAGAGTTGTTCCTGTTGATGATAACTACTATGCTGCTTTGAACTCAGCGGTGTTTAGCGACGGTTCCTTCTGTTATATACCGAAGAACACGAAATGTCCTATGCCGATTTCGACTTATTTTCGGATTAACGCGATGGAGACTGGTCAGTTCGAGAGGACATTGATTGTTGCTGAGGAAGGGAGCTTTGTTGAGTATCTAGAAGGGTGTACTGCTCCTTCTTACGATACAAATCAGCTTCACGCGGCTGTGGTAGAGCTTTATTGTGGCAAAGGAGCTGAGATTAAGTACTCAACCGTGCAGAATTGGTACGCTGGTGATGAGGAAGGGAAAGGAGGGATTTATAATTTCGTCACGAAGCGGGGTCTTTGCGCGGGGGACAGGTCTAAGATCTCGTGGACTCAGGTTGAGACGGGGTCTGCGATTACTTGGAAGTATCCGAGTGTGGTTTTGGAAGGTGATGATTCTGTTGGGGAGTTTTACTCTGTGGCGTTGACGAATAACTATCAGCAGGCGGACACGGGGACTAAGATGATTCATAAAGGTAAGAATACAAAGAGTAGGATCATTTCGAAAGGTATCTCGGCTGGGAACTCGAGGAACTGTTACCGTGGTCTTGTTCAGGTTCAGTCCAAAGCTGAGAATGCTAAGAACACTTCTGTTTGTGACTCTATGCTTATTGGTGACAAAGCAGCTGCTAATACCTATCCTTACATCCAGGTATACATTGTTTATGAATTATGATTTAGTCTTTGTTATAAGCTGTGATGAAGTCTAAACTTCTTGTGTGTGTGGGTTTGAAACAATGACAGGTTAAGAATCCATCAGCCAAAGTAGAGCATGAAGCAAGTACCTCTAAGATTGGAGAAGATCAGCTTTTCTATTTCCAGCAGAGAGGAATTGACCATGAGAGAGCATTAGCGGCGATGATCTCTGGGTTCTGCAGAGATGTCTTTAACAAGCTGCCTGATGAGTTTGGAGCTGAAGTTAACCAGCTTATGAGCATTAAGCTTGAAGGATCAGTGGGTTAGAAAACCAAAAATACTCACAATTACAGGACAGTATAAAAACAGTCTTTGTTGTGTATCTCAATAAAGTTTTATCTTCTGGGTGTTTTTTTTACTAGTTTCAGTATGTAAAACTTTGTGTTATGTATTGTTTTGATAGCTTCATGTGAACCATATGAAAGGTATTGTTAATATTTTAACGCTTGCATTGAACATGGAAACAATAAAATTTCCAGAAAGGATATTGTTAATTAACTTTTTCGTGTTCAAACTTATTTTGGCTAAATCCAAACTTTCAGCTCACTATGACCACATCGTAAAAGCCATGTCAACAAATACTTGTTAAATCTGGTACAGCTAACTCGAGTTGTAAGGTTTCAAAGCTAGAACCGTCTTAATTAATTTTATTTTATTTTTAGAAGATGGTAGAATCTTCTGAAGGAGAATCATAGAACAGAGAATGAATTTCTTCCAAGGATTTCCCTTTGGTCTCTGGAACAAGCTTGGCTGTAAACACAATTCCAAGGAACATCACTGTGGCAAAGATGATAAATGTTCCTGCAATAAATTCGTTTATCTAGCTATAAAAACCTTTTAATTGTATATAATAAACACGAAAGATTAGATTAACTACCTGTGGAAGTCCACTGAAGCAAGAAACTGAAGAAGTACGTAACGACCCATGAGCTTATAGAGGTGACCAAGTTACACACCGTTCCTGCCGCTCCCTTCACGTCTACTGGATATATCTAACAAAGTTAGGAAAAAGAAATATTAATTTAATAATGAGTTAACATTTGGATATTTGTGGTTTTTAATAATATTTAATTTACCTCTGATGCTACGATCCATGGTAAAGGTCCCATGCCTACTCCGAATGAAGCAAAATACACCTAATTTAATTTATACGTAAAACCCATTTTTTTTTATCTTGGCATTGTTTGAATTACATATTTTTAATTAAATTACTTATTGTACTGATAATCCTTTATATATTAATCCTATAGCATTACAACATATTTGGTAGCCACTTGTCATCACTATGTTGATTTTTAAAATCATTAGGAAAATAAGTTGGTCCATTTCAATATTTGTTATATTTTTTTATTAAACTAACTATGCAATTAATTGGTAGTGTATAAAAAATATCCTCCATTATTTCTTTAAATAAAAACTGTAGAATTGCCTAATATGATTAACAAATATATGACAATTAATGATTTTGAATAATAAAGATTTGATAACAATTTTCTATCCTCTATCATTTTCTTAAATTTATATTTTTAAAATAAATTAAACAATCATATTAATAGTATAATAAAAATTTAGATTTTTTTCTTAAATGCTATATTTTGAATTTCTTAAACGATTATAAATTACTAAAATTGTTAAAAATCAACATTGAAATTTTTGTGATCAATGATTTAACTTTTTGTTATAACAAAATATAAATGAGCATAAAATCATATAAATATCAAATCTTTTTAATATATACTCAGAGTAAATATATATAAAATGCATAAACATGTTAATTTCAATTGTTTTGAGTAGGAAGCATAGGTTAATAAATATTAATATAAATAAAAATGATATATTTTACAATAAATATAAAAATGTTAGTTAAATCATATGAGTATGAACTTCAATTAATAAATATTCATATTAAAATATATTATATAATTTTGTTAATATCATTTAATTTTAATTATATACCATATAAATATATAATTAATTATTTTGATTTCTTACCAGCAAAACAATATTGTAAATACAAAGAAGGGCAATTTTTATTTATATGTTTACTCTAGTTTAACTATATACATAATAGTTACTTGTTCTCAATTATTCAATATACTTATTATTGCATAATACATAAATAAATAAAAAATAAATAATAATATGTATAAATGGTTTATATACATAACTAATGTTTATTCCGCGCAAAGGCGCCTCTCAAAAGTTATTTATTATTTCAAAAATACAATTTTTAATATCAAAGTGAGATGGTGAGTTTTAATATCCGGATGATATTATTGAAGCCCAATGTACTTAAATAGGGTTAAAAAATCAAAAATATTAACAAAAATTATCCTATTTATCAACATTTTATTGACGGTCAAAGTTATGACATGATGGTTGAACGATCAAAATTAATATTTGATGATTATTAATATATAAATTTCATTCCGTGCATATGCCCGGGATATCACCTAGTTTATTTATTATTACCATAACACTAATGAGGGCCAAGATAGGTGTTCCTGTTTCCCAGCAATTGTTCTTCTGCAGATTTACAAAACCATTTTTCATACATTAAAATAAAAAACCGGTTTAGTAAAGTAGATAGAGACAGAGTATACTAAGCATGCCTGCAAGATGAATGAAATGGCCGTTGCAAGACAACCCAAGAACATTCCAGCTTGAGAAACCTACAATCACTCACAAAATTAAATCTAGAACATTCCAGCTTGAGAAACCTACAATCACTCACAAAATTAAATCTATGTTTCATCAAAAACCAATCAAAATATAACCTAGCCTTTTGGTTATTAAATTGAAGTTTACCAGTAGGAGTGAACGTCTTCCAGATATATCCACAAGCACAGTACCTAAAATGCCTCCAACCATCTACAAGAATATGTGTGTTTAAAATAATTCTTAATAGAATGTTACTTAGGAATGATAATCATTCTCTATTATCAGTAAAAACCTGAATGATGGATGTCGATATGAACCCAACGTCACTTGCTACACCTGATTATCAGATAATTATTAACTGTTCGATGAAGCAAGAATGCAGCAGAAGAACGAGGTTTTAATTTACCAGTAGAGGTGAAAATGGAGTCAGTGTAAAACGTATAACCATTAAGACCTCCAAGTTGCGGCAAAGCTATAAGAACTACACCAATCTGTGTAAAATAATGGGTTAGATAAGCAAGAAAGTACAAAAACAAACTATGCTTTCCAAAAAAGTTTCAAGAGTTATTTACAGTAAGTGACAAAGCGTATTTTCGCTGAAACAGCTTGAAAAAATCATGGCCATTGACATCTTGTTGTTGTTTAACATATTCTGTACATTCCTGTTGTGATATCAATATGTAAGAAACGACATATGTAAATCATATGATTATTAATTCATATATATTCTTACCATTATCTCTCTTGCTTCATCAGATATATCCGATTTTGCTCCTCTTAGGCTTAACAAAACAGCCTCGACCTCTTTTTCCCTTCCTACTTTAGCCTATGAACATATATTTATAGTTTCTTTGGACAAGGTTCTAAAATGTGAAACATAAATGTTATGTTTTCAATACTCACTTTTTTTAAAAAAATATTCAAATGACATTTAACAGAAATACTAAAATGTTATGTTTACTTTGAAGGTAAAAACAAGAAGAAGCTAAAATCTAAGATAAATGTTTTGGTTTAAAAATAAGCAGGCACTTACCAGCCATCTAGGAGATTCAGGGATGAAGAAAAGAAGAGGCACGATCATAAGACAAGGTATAGCTCCTGGCCATAGACAAAACACAAAAGCATTAGTAAAATGTTTTCTCTCCTTTTATGGAAATAAAGAACAGCCAGTTTGCATTGGATAAGAATTGATATTTTTTACATACCCAAAATGGCTAAATCGCGCCAAGCAACGACCGTTCCAAGTGCATATAAGACGGATGTACCAACGCCAACGGATAGCTGAAGAACAGAGACATATTTTATTGTAGGAAATTACATTTTCATAGAATATAGATTCAACTTTTGGTTCTCTTAATTTACCCCAGCCAAGGAACAAGCCGCTCCTCGCAAATTTGATAGTGCTATTTCGGTGATGTAAACCGGTACCTGAATTAATGTTTATCAGATTATATGATGTATTACAAAAATATCATACCAAATGAACCTAAAACACATATATATCCAAATGTTTAATCTCATTGGCAACATATTCAGATTCAAGTCGTAAAAGGTTTACAAAACATTTTGAATTTACCAGATTAACAGCTCTGAAACCAAAACCTTACATTTACAATATATATATATATATATATATATATATATATATATATATATATATATATATATATATATATATATATATATATATTAATATTTACCCACCTCTAAATCAAAATCTCAAACCAGAAACATTAGAAAACACTAAATCAAACAAAACAAAATTGGTTAACTCCTCAAGTTTTATTCATTCATACCAAATATGAGCTGATGCCGACCGAGATCCCTTGCAAAAACCTTCCAATATCAAGCAGCCAAACACCCTACATATGTTCAAAGGAGTTAAAGAATAGAAATAAAAATGAGATATTTTAAGGTATTAAGTTTCTTAGATTTCCAATATAAAACCATTTGACATTAAGTGGATTGATTCAAGTCACTTATATATTACTTAAGTCTCTTTCATTTTTCTAAAGTGTGATCTTCTCTCCAACACCTTCCTTCAAATAAATAGTGGATATAATCATTAATCTCAACTGAATCCATCATACCTCCTCCAAACCAATGCTCATTAATGGGATGATTAAACTGCTTTTCACGTTGGATTAATGGGTCAAGATGTGAGCCCGATCTGATACTATGTTAAATTTCATGGATTTCTAACTTAAAAACAACTAGAGATTGATCTGCACGCCTGTGCAGGTATTAAATTTTACATTTTTATAAACCAATATTTTTTTTCATAATTAAATATATTTTATATGTGTTAATTTTGATATTGTGTTAATTTTGATATTTGTTGGTTTAAGTTCAGAAAAATATTTTCTGTGTTTAAGAATAGTGTGTGTTGTTCCACTATCTGATATACAAATATCTCTAGCATTAATCTTGATTGATGCTCCGTTTGTAGTGTCCATTTCTGAGACAAACAAAGAATTAATAGAGATAAGATAATCTTATTCATAAAATATTATACATCATTAGCAAACATCAAACACGCAGTAATTATACATAAACATATGAAAATCACACAATAATTACACATTAATTTTCCACAAACAACATTATTTATGGTATAATTGTGGAATTTCAAGAGTCACATGATGAGTGCTTAATCTTCTGTGATGGCGGTCTCCTCGAAATCATTCACAAAGTCAGACGCATCCAGGTGTGTTGTACCCTCAGAAGTTTCCGCAAAGTTAACCTCTTTACCTTTTCCTTTAACGGAATCTTTGTATAAAGCACATAGATGTGGAGGGGTACGACATACACGGGACCAATGTCCCTTAGTACCGCATCTGAAACAAGCTTCTTCTCGCTTCTGAGAAGTATTCCCTTGGTGTTCTTTTTCCTTAGGGGATTGCTCAGAGCGGACCCATTGGAATGACTTTCTGTCCTGTGGATTGTACTTTCGTCCACGTCCACGGTAGTTTTGACGACCACGGCCACGGAAAGCCTTATTTTCTTTCACTGGTTTCTTTGCATCTAATGCATTTGCTTCGGGAAACTCTTTGGAACCAGTTGGGCGTGTCATGTGATTCTTGATCAGAAGCTCGTTGTTCTTTTCCGTTACGAGAAGCGCCACAATCAAATCCGAAAATTTGGTATATCCCCGCAACCTATATTGTTGTTGCAGGGTGATGTGGCTCTTATGTAATGTGGTGTATGTCTTTTCAAGCATTTGAGACTCAGTGATTGTTTCTCCACAGTATCTCAATTTAGCCACAATTCCTAACACAGCAGAATTGTAATTCATCACTTTGTCGAAATATTGGAACCTCAGGTTCTGCCATTCATCTCGAGCAAGTGGAAGTGTTATGTCTTTCTGATGATCAAAACGATCTTTCAGACAGTTCCATAACTCTTTAGGATCTCTCATGTTGGCATAGTCATAAATAATACTTTCATCAAGGTGTCTTCTAAGGAAGATCACCGATTTAGCCTTTTCTTGGGGCGTTGAAGTATTATTCTCTTTAATGGTTTCAGATAAACCAAGAGATGCAAGATGAAGTTCGACTTCGGTGACCCAAGAAATGTAGTTGGTACCGGTGATGTCTAGCGCGGGAAATTGGAGCTTCTCGATGTTTGCCATTGATTTTCTAAGGCACAAAATAATCAATTATTAGAATTTCATTAATTTTAAATAGAACCGATTACATTGATAGTACACGCAATTACAAGTAAAAATGATGCTAATAAACATAAGGCGATGTTAATTCCAAAATATTCATGAGTAGTTCCTTCAACAAGAATAAAATACATAGACGAAGAAATAAATATCGCACATAAAATTAAAAACAGTCGAGTCATCTTTCTTTTAAGCAAAAGTCGGAATAGTATTTAAAAGTATTTGAGAGAAAATGAAATGTTTTAGTTGAAGTGAATGAGTGAAAATGAGTTGTATTTATAGATGAAAAATACTGTTCATTAGCCGTTAACTAGCCGTTCAAAAAGTAAAAAAAAAAATTAATTAATATTATTGTTTAAATTTATTTATGACCGTTGGAACTAAAAACAGAAAATTAAAATTAATCAAAATTTATTAGTGAGTAATTATCAAATGTATCAGTTTAAACATATATATAAATATAGGTGAAATCTTAAATATATTTAGTTACATATATGGTGATAAAATTATCTATTAGGTTTTCAAAGTGAAATGTTAAGGTGATGCTCGGAATAATAAATTATGATAACAAATTTATATATTATAAAATAATAAATTAAAATGTTTAGGCGGTATACCGGCCATTATGGTGCCTTAAGCAACCATGATAAAATTTATAATAAAGTTCGGGGCGGCAGAGCCGCGCTCCGGTAATAATAAAGCTAGTGGATAAAAATGGGGCGGCAGTGCCGCACTCCGATAAACATAAACATAATAAATAAATGGAGGCCCCACTCCGAACATAATAATCAAAATAAATTTTTATAGTAGAGTGATCGTGCTGATAACGTGTTATAATTGTACTTATATTATATATCGTTTTAGTTTATGTTAGATTTCTATATATATATATATATTTGTGCTCGTAGCATATATTATGTATGTATTTGAAAGAATAGTTAAACAAGAAAGAAAAGCATACCAAGTGAAGAAAGAGAGAGGATAGTATTATATCGTTCGAAAGGGGTAACGTAAATGAGGTGAAGTACATGTTTATATAGGGGGAAAATCAGACAAGAAATACTGTGGGAGTAATGATGCTGGACTCCACTTTGAGATCATACACGCAAAGTTTTGACTATTGTAACAGTTACAAAATTGTTATTTTACTTTGTTCTTTAGAATATTGTAGAATCTTCAGGAGGGGAATCATAGAACAGAGAATGAATCTCTTCTAAAGATTTGCCTTTGGTCTCTGGAACAAGGTTGGCTGTGAACACAATTCCTAAGCACATCGCTGTGGCAAATATGATAAATGTTCCTGTAATAAATTTATTTTCTCAGTTGATGAAGAAGATTGTTTTCTTAATTACTTAATAACAACATTTTTATTGTAAATATTAACTACCTATGGGACTCCATTGAAGCAAGAAACTGAAGAAGTAAGTAACGACCCATGAGCTTATAGATGTGACCAAATTACACACTGTTCCTGCCGCTCCTTTCACGTCTACTGGATATATCTGACAAAGTTAAATAAAAAAGAAACATTAATTATATTTAACAATGAATGAAAATTTAGATATTGATTTTTTTTTAAAAAATATTAAAATTACCTCTGATGCTACAATCCATGGTATAGTTCCCATGCCTAATCCGAATGAAGCAAAATACACCTAATTTAATGTATACGTGAACACATAATATTTTTACCTTGGCATTGTTTGAATAACAAAAAAAAAAAAGACAGATTTTTCAATTAAATTACTTATTGTAATGATAGTTTATTTATTACTATTACCATAACACTTATGAGAGCAAAGATAGGTGTTCCTGTTTCCCAGCAATTGTTCTTCTGTGCAGTAACAACACCATTTTTTCTTACATTAAAACCAAACACCGGTTAAGTAAAGTAGATAGAGTATACTAAGCATGCCTGCAAGCTAAATGAAATGGCCGTTGCAAGACAACCCAAGAACATTCCAGCTTGAGAAACCTGCAATCACTCACTAAATCAATCTATGTATTCATCAAAAACGAATCAAAATAAAATATATACCTTTTAATTATTTAGACTTTCCAGTTCAACTATTAAATTAAATTTTACCAGTAGGAGTGAACGCCTTCCGGATATATCCACAAGCACAGCACCTATAATGCCTCCAACAAGCTACAAAAATATAAGTGTTTAAAATAATTCTTAAAAGAATGTTACTTAGGAATGATAATCATTCTCTATTAATTCTTAAAAGAATGTGTTTTTGAAAGGACTGTTAAGACAATGTTTCACTGTAAAAAATTAGGAAAAACAGTCATGTTCTTTGATCATATAACAGTAAAAACCTGAATGATGGATGTCGATATGAATCCAACGTCACTCGATACACCTGATTATCGGATAATTATTGACTGTTCGATGAAACAAGATCGTAGAAGAAGAAGAACACGGTCTTAATTTACCAGTAGAGGTGAAAATGGAGTCAGTGTAAAACATATAACCATTAAGACCTCCAAGTTGCGGCAAAGCTATAAGAACTACACCAATCTGTGTAAACCAATGGGTTAGCTAATCAAGAAAATACAAAAAACAAAGTATGCTTTCAATTTTTTTTTATGAGTTATTTACAGTAAGTGACAAAGCGTATTTTCGCTGAAACAGCTTGAAGAAACCATGGCCTTTGATATCTTGTTGCTTAACATGTTGCGTATATTCCTGTTGTAATATCAATATGGTAAGAAACGACATATCTAAATCATATTATTATTAATTCATTTATATTCA